CCATCTTGCTCAACCGGTCAACAAACACCACGACACCCGTGTTGCCTGCCGAATCTTTCGGCAGGCCAAACACAAAGTCTAAGCTCATGGACTGCCAGCACCCAGTGGGTACCGGTAAGCTGGCGAGCGGCGCAGCCGCATTTGGAGCGGGATTCATCCGTCGACAGCTCTCACACGTGCGCACATAGGTGCTCGTCCATTTGTACAACCTGGGCCACCAATAGTGGTGACTCACAGGGTTGTACGTTTTCTCACGACCGAGATTACCATTGAGTGGCGTGTCGTAAACCTCATAGAGGATGCGATATTGCAAATCCTCATCATGCGGAACCACAATTCGTGGTGTATCCGCTGAATCGGTGCTATAATATAGCAAGCCGTTAATCAATGAATATCGGTGCAATCGCGAATGCAATCTTGATGACAATTTCTAGTCCGAGTTTCCAAATTCCTTGATCCCTAGAGCCCGTAGCAACGCTACACACATCCCATCACCCCCATACGCGGTGCAGATCAAATCGATCACAGACGCCGTTACAGTTGCAACATGAGCAAGCTCATAGTCTGGTCTGCGTGACAACCCATTAGCCAAATCATTCTGCTTTCCCGGCTTATACTTCACTTCGAAGTTATACTTCGCAAAGAAAGATAGTCATCTAGCCATCCTCTGCGAGAAGTGGGGCGACTGAGTCGCAGTGCGTAGTTACGCACGATCTGTATAGATCACAAACGGCTTGGAGCCGAGCAGGTGGACCCTGAACGTGACAAGTGCATACTTCATCGCAAGAAGCTCCTTATCATGAACTGGGTAGTTCTTCACTACAGCTTTGAGCTGTCAAGATTCGAACGTGATCACCCGATCTCGCCCCTCGGTGACTGCTAGCAGCAATGCACAGCCGATAACAAAGTCCGAAGCGTCACAGACGACGCTGATAGGACGATCGGGGGTCTGGCAAGCGCCAGTATTGGTGCATGCAGGAGGCTGTCTGTGTCCCCGCTAAAAGCCTCTTGATGTTCGGTGTTCCAACACAATTCCGCATCCTTTTTATGGAGATTGGATAATGGTCGGGCCATATTTGCGTAGTTTACGCTCTACTTGTGCAAGTAGTTGGCGAGACCAAGCCACTTACGCAAG